ATCAAAGCGTGCAGCCTTCCTTCTCATCAACAAGAAATGTGCAGCTCTGACCTTGGCAGATGGTGGACGTTTCATATTTTGCTCCACTCCAGCCTGATTGCCTGAAGCCATTCCCGACCTAGCAATGGCAGTCCCTCCTGGTCGAGGACGTATAAAGGCAGGCTCGCCAAGCTGCCGCCGTGCTGCACCTTGACCTGTAGGACACCTTTTGGGATCACCAGGGCTCCTGTGTAGGTGCACAGGTGCGCAACTTGACTTCTGTCAGCTCGAGTCTGGTTGATGAAAAAAATTGGCGGTATTGTTTGAAAGGCATGACTGACGGCTGCACCAGTGTCTAGCTCCATAGAGACTGCCACATCATTTACCTTCATCGGTACCATGATAGGCTCCATACTGGGAGCAGATACACCCTTTACGGCTACCACTTCTGAGTAGGATACCACCGCTAATGTTTTTACAGCGCTCTTGATGGGGCGTTTCCCACGCGACGTGCCGGAGGCGCTACCGCAGACACGTTGAAGGTGCCCCCTTTTGCTGCACTTATAGCATTTGTCATTTAAGTGGGGACACGCTTTGCCGATGTTTCGGCGAACTGCAGCGAAAACATGCCTGCGACTGGACACTCGAAGCCGCCTCTACTTTATGCATGGAGTTGGCGGCAGGCACACCCGTGCGGGCTTCAGCAGTGCTTTTAGTTGCCACCTCCATAGACAGAGCGTGCTCTACCGCTCTCTGAAACGTGAGCTTGCTGTCCTTAGTGAACAACACTCGCTGCATATCCTCTCTTAGCAAACCGCACACGAAGCGATCCCAGAGGGATTCGTCTAACGAGCCTCCAAAATCACAGGTTCGTGCTAGCTTCCGTAACTCGGCAACATAATCAGAAATAGACTCGCCTTCGACTTGCTGTCTGCTGTGGAACTTCGCTCGCTCGCCTATGACCGAAGGTTTTGGCGACAGATGGTCCCCCAGATCTTCTTCAGTACCTCGAAGCTTTTCGTTGAAGGCAGCTCCGGGGCGACCAGTGATTTTAGAAGACTGTAGGTTCTGGGACTAATCATACTCAGGAATGCATGTACTCGGTCACCTTCAGGAACACGGTTGACGATTAGAAACGACGTTAGCCGCTCTTCGTACGACGCCCAGTCATTCGTGGAAACGTCGAATGGTTCCATCTGGCCAAGCTGAGCAGCAAACTGCGTCGAACCTGCACTCGCTTCTTCGTTCATATCTGTCAGCGACCACAAAATTGCAGCACTCTTCAATCGTCGATACTGAACAGAGGCTGAATGCCGAGAACACTTGCCTTCCTTGACGTTGTGCTACTCTTCATGATCCCATCCTCGTCGCCAAGTGTTACTTTTTTGCAACAGACGTGCCGAAATGACCAGACAAGTTCCGGGTGAATGACGTTTATAGACCCATGCTTGTGAGTTCGTGGCTCGGGCAAGAAGAGGCGCGCTAGCAAGTGGCACTCTGCTTTCAACACCTAGTGGCGCATGCGCACTTCGCAGAGTGCTCTTATCAATGGAGCACAGGCCGACACAACAGTAGCATAGCTGATTAGAACAAATTATCCATAGCTAGTTTTTATACAGCACTGGTGCTATTGATGCTATAAGTTGTAGAATTTGTCTTTGCTCTTAGCGCATACTTTGTTATTCTCCTAATAAAATATTCGTATTTATAGTATTGTTGTGCTTCCAAATTATTTTGTGATTTCTGCTTCAAATTGTTCATTTCTGCAATATATTTTTTCATCCTGTCAAATGATTGTGCTAATTGTCCAAGCTTATTGTTTCTTTCCTTTCATTTTCTTTTATATCTGTTTGCATTGTACTTTTCTGTTCCTGCTTGGACCCTTACTGGTTCTGCAGTATGATGTAAATAAAAAAAACAGACTGTGCGAAAAGTGCTTGAAAAATATCTCTCTTCAAAATGGCTGCTGCCAGCTTGTTCGGGCGGGAGCAAAAGCAAGCACAGCCTCTTTTCCTGTCATCTCACGGCAAGCGCAGCAAGTAATCACTGGTGATATGGAACCAGCGACCAGATTACAACTCCCTCCCTCTTACAGAAGATTAGGCAAGAGGCCGGTAATAGATTTGAAGGGAAGGGAGCTGCAATCTTGCCGCTGGTTCCATATCACCAATGAATGTTTGCTTTGCTCGCCACGAGATGACACGAACAGAGGCTGTGCTTGCTCTAACTCCTACTTGAACGTGCTGCCACCAGCCGCCGGAGCGCGCAGGCCATGTGTCACCGTGTTCCCTTTCATAAAAATTGACACTGCACATATATTGACGCGCCAGCGTGGCTATTGCCGGTGATAGACTCTTCCAAATTCGACTTCGGCGCAGTTTGGCCTTATTTCCATTGATATTATCAGGATGGTGCAGTAAATCTGATTTGGCGCAGTTGGCACAGGAGTGGGATACTGCTATCATTGATTGATTGATTGATTGATTGATTGATTGATTGATTGATTGATATGCAAGCTTTAACGTACCAAAACCACCATATGATTATGACAGACACCGGGCTCCGGAAGTTTCGACCACCTGGGGTTCTTTAACTTGCACCCAAATCTAAGCCCACGGGCCTACAACATTTCGGCCTCCATCGGAAATGCAGTCGCCACAGCCGGGATTCGAACCCGCGACCTGTGGGTCAGCAGCCGAGTACCTTAGCCACTAGACCACCGCGGCGGGGCAATCACTCTATCATGTCAACTGCTTCACCCTTTCAGGAAACCAGATTTTCTTTTTAATTCTAAGCACAAATTTTTATCGTGAATAATTCTGCAATCAACCCCCCCCCCCCCCCCATGTGCCGTGTTGCCACCAATTCAATGAGCCCCATGCCGTTGACGAGCTGCCGGCGTAGTTGGAAACACCGGCACGTCGCCGCCACCGATTTTCGTACCGACGTACAACTCTACATGTAACTTTCTGTAAAGGTGGTTTCACTGCAGTGAAGCGATTCTGAGCTGTGAAAACACCTACTTATTGGAAATCCGCACTGCCGCAAAGTCCCACTTCAAGTTTATATGATCGTATCACCCTAACACCGTTTCATCATTTATTGCATTTAAAAGCTTGTTATACCTGCTTATATGCTCAAAGTATGCAAACGTTAAATTGTAACATATTTTGCAGGTTATCATTTTGCCTTTTATGAAAAGTAACATTCTGCGACTATTCAAAAGGGCTTTCACTTCCTTTTGAACCAAAAATAATGGCTATTGCACAAGCCTTGTTACAATTTAAAAATATAGATATTCTGCAGGTTAATTCTATCATGCCAAGTATGCCCTTTTTCTTTTAGAACATGTGATATAAAAATCAAATACATTTTGAATTATTCGACCAATATCAATATTCCCTTCAAATTTCCTTCGAGCCTGAAATTCGCAATTCGCACAAGCCTAGTCGCGAGATTTAAGACAGTTGGAGGAATGGGACAGCGTGTCTATCTCTCCTAGAGATACTTCAAAGCCATTAGCCAACTTCTCATAAAATGATGCTAACAGACCGATTACATAAACGTAATGATGGATGTCTTTGGCGAACGGAGCTTTCTGTAACTGGAAATTGTCTTTTTCCACGAGTCAACAGTAAGTTTCTGCTATTGCAACTGTAACGCTCTCAAATTTCTACCCCTTTGTGGATGCTAACACAAATATTTTTCAGAAAACACGCATAAGGGCTGATGATTAATTTGTAGGGTTTAACGTCCCAAAACCACTATATGATTATGAGAGACGCCGTAGTGGAGGGCTCCGGAAATTTCGACAACCTGGGGTTCTTTAACGTGCACCCAAATCTGAGCACACGGGCCTACAACATTTCCGCCTCCATCGGAAATGCAGCCGCCGCAGCCGGGATTCGATCCCGCGACCTGCGGGTCAGCAGCCGAGTACCTTAGACACTAGACCACCGCGGCGGGGCACGCATCAGGGCTGTATACTTTTCATGAAAATATTTGAGTATTTGGACTGTTAGCCACTGAACGTTGTTCACTTTAGAAAACGTAGTTTGGAAGAAACAGGACAGGTGAGTTAACGGAAGGACTGTCTCATTCCTCTGTATTCTACTTCTGCACCACTATACACAGGGCAAAAAGAAACATAAAAGGTAAGACAAATGTCCTTACATGTACACCGGGAAGTACATACAATTGAACATGAATTCACAGATGTTGGCAAGACAGACTTAAAAAAGGAGTGCAGCACAGTCAAGAGTGCCACCACAACCCATCCAAAAACTAGGAGACTTTTGCTAAAGGATTGCTGTTCTTCAAGTGAAAAGAACACACTTTCCATTGCCTTTAATGAGTCTGACAATGACATTTCAGGTTTTAACAATTATTGGCGTGACATTTGTGAAGTCAAATGACTCAATGAATATAATCAAATGAATGAAGGCCATGTTTTACTTGTCAGTATTGGGAAAATATATATTTGGAATTCATTACACTGCTAGAGTCAAGAGCAGTAATAACATGCCAGCATCAGTGCACAGCTCCCATGTAACAAAGAAAAGAGCTCTCCATCCAACTTTCCTCCTGAAAAGATATGGGTACTTTATCAATCAGAGACAATGTGATCAAGCTGCCAGTGTCAAAAATCATTGCCGCAGTGAAGCTGCAGGCAAATCATGTGTGTCATGCACTTAATGATTCTTACATCTGTGTCCTTTTATATACGTTTTTGCTTGTTTTGTCAGTTCTTTTTAATAATGATGACGGCTGATATGTATTAATTCACATTTTTTGCCGCAATAAACGTCATTTGCTAGTCAGCACTAGGTGTTATTGAATGTGTGCCCTTACTGTCCTGGTCTTTCCTGCCGATTTCTCTGTCAACTGAGCATTCTCTTCTTCGTGCTGGGTACTGTCTCTCAAGATGCAAATACTCAGGCCTAAAATGCAAGCAGCTAAGTCAAACTTAAGTGATAACCGAGTTTGGCAGTTCACTGTGATGAGAAGATGGATTCACTCACAGACATCTAGAAGCAGAGCCAGGCAGGAAGTGGGAGCTCGAGTGAGAAGCATGGCCACCAGTACCAGGCAGGCGTCCCACACCAGTGGTGCATCCACATCTTTCCTGGTCTGAACACAGAGCAAGATGCTATAAACATCCACACATTTTCACCGAGTTGTGCAGTGTTGCCACATTAAGAATGGTAGAGAAGCATATTCAAATGCAGTCCCTTCCCAAGGGCTCTGCAACGACCACAAGTCACTAGATCATGCAGGCACAGAACTATGACTTAGGACAGGTGTTATACTCCATCTCACCACTATCTTTCAGCACTACCAATACTACGGGGTGTAAGCAAGCTGTACGCTTGCACAGCAGAACATAATTCTTAATTTAATTATCTTACGATTGGCAGGGTTGAGATATTCGTGCTTGTTTGACCCATGTTAGGTCCCACTGATCATGCTATGTAAATTTTTCTTGGCATTTTTTCATCTGCAGTATCAGTAACCACTAGTAAATGTGGGTAAAAATCAACCTGGAAGCACTGGCTCATGCAGATGCGAACACCCGCTTTAGTCCAAACTTGCACGTACTACTCGGCCACTGCGCTGGCAGCAACAAATGAATGGTGAAATCAAACTATCCATCTCAAAGTAAGGACAAAGCATCCGCTACATACTGTCTTTATTTGCAAAGCCAGCTGTTCATTCAGCCCTGCCTGCTAAGCCTAATGTGCCGAAAACTTGTGAATGGTTCTTAAAACCAAACGAATAGAGTTTCATATATACCTTTGTCGAAGCATCAAACATTAATTTAAGGCAAATACAAGCATCAGTATGACAAGGTAAATTTGAAGTTGAGGGTACCTGCTGTGATAAGTGAGACATAACTAGGTGAATAGTGGCATTGAGGTGTTGGACTCTGCTTCTTTCATTTCATCTTGCGATGGCCGAGTTAAGAAAAGCGATCGTTGTTTTGATTTGAGCAGGGCGTCTTGGTTACCGCCAATGTATGTCCTAGCAGTACTGACCATCGTACCACATGAGCATTGCGCCCAAGGCTTCTTTTCTTTCCCTTTTCCCTACTGTATCGTTCTATGGAACGTTTTGCGTTTACGCAGTGGGAGTGATGTAACCCACGGCTGGCTGTTTTCTGCATATAGTCTGTGCCACTGGGCAGTAATACAGGTCGCGACATCGGGCAATGAACATTCCTGGGACTTGCGCAACTGTCTGCAGTACAGCACTCTCATGAGTGCTGCTCCCAACCAAAAGACGTGTCGGCACGAGTGACACTTCCTAACTACAGATGGCAACGTTGCCGCTGCGCGACCGGCACAAAGGTAAAGTCACCAAGCCGGACAGTGCAGTGGGGTCGACCGGCACAGAGGTGAAGTCATCGAGCCAGACAGTGCAGCGGTGTCGACCGGCGGTGGGGTCGTGGTGCACTGACATTCTTTGACAACATAGTGTAGTCTTTTATTAACACATGTGTAGCTGATTTCTGCCCTCTTTAATTATATTTTTTTTCAATATAGTTTGAATTAAGGTTGGGGTGATGTGGAAGTGCTATCAGCCCCTGTAAAGTCGTTTGCACCACGTGGTGCACACGTATACTGCGAGTTAGCTGCATTTAGAGTTTTCATTATGAAGGAAGGAAAGCTAAACAGAGGTTCCCGCAATGCGAGCTGCAAAGCGAAAAGTGTGGCACAAGTTATGTGCTTTTCCAGGGGGGTTATAGGAATAGGTGGGCACGCCAGCGTCTCGTAGCGTCTGCATCACCACCCGTACTACCGCGTTCTTGATAACCGGCTAGAGTTCTGAATGTGCATTTTTACGCAGCTGTTACACTTCAAAGATGATACAATGTGTTAGAAGTCTACAGTGAGCGTTGGTCTTCATGGTTGCAAGTTTAGTTTATATCGCTTGAGGTCGAAAGCAGTTGTTCTTGAAGCTCGCGGCCACTTCTCCGAAAATGGTTGGCCCCACAGCTTCTTTGTTTTTCTTTGGCACTGTGCTAGTTGCGTGCCTCAGCGAAGGCAGCCTAAAATTCCTAGACGAGAACCGCAGTGCCTACGGTTCTTAATGCGAGAAGCGGCGGTGAGTCGTTCTAGTGCACAGTGGTCGCAACTTTTGGAAAGCAGTACGCGACCCACTGTTCCCACCGGAGCTTGCCAAGTCAAGAATTCGACTTGCCTGACACAGTAAGGTGATTTTTAACGAGATAGCGTTAGAAAGCTCGTGTCGCAGAAATTCTGTTGTCCGCGTTGGCACCGTTTGGTGTGAGTGAAAAATCGTCCGTGAGCGAAAAAGCTCATTACAGAGATCGCCGCAGGAGGCCGCTACTTGTCCACGTATGCGCACGCAATCACACTGAAAAAGCTGTGCATTCGAAGAGAAAAAAAGAAAAGTGCTCAAGGTCATGAGGAACGGGTGACGTAGTTTCTTTGCTCCTTCCACCCCTCCCTGCTTAGCTTCCAGCACTTTCGTTTGCAGCATGTTACAAACCTTAACTCCACTCGCACTGAACGCATTCTTAGAGTTTTCACAGTGTTGAATTCCGGTGTTGAATTCGTGAGGCAATAAGCTATTCTAGTGAATTCATTCTAGGCTTACTTGAAAAAGTGTTTCAGGGTCTCTTTATTGCATTTTGTTTGACAGGTGTTACGACGAAAATGAGCCAATTCAGCGATTTGTAGGCGCACTTGAGAGGCCTCAAACTATGTCGAAAAAGGCCGAGATAGTGCAGCCATCACCGCTAAAAACACACAAATACTTTCAAACAGCTCTAAAAATAGACAACTAAGTCCATCTAGTGGAGAACATATCATGCCTTTTCAGAGGTGTTGATCAAGCAAACAGCAAACGCTAGAAAATGTGCTGCCATCTGTGAGCCATTGTGAGACTCTTCATGGCCTCCGAGATGATAAACGCACAGCGTGTATCTTGGAGGCCATGCGACTCTTGCTTTAGATCAAAAACCTGTATGTACCATTCGCGCGCGCTTGTACTATCTACTGTGTGCGTGTTTGTGTGTGTGCTCGTGTATGTAACAAAACATATGAATAAGTATGCGCTTAGCGGTTGAAGGGCGCATTAGGGGTCGGATTTCGCTATATCGTTCAACTCTTAAAGGGGAAGCTTAAGCGTCCCCAAATTTTTGCATTTTGTTTGATTTATCGCTTTCTGTTCACATTTGGTACGCATTAACCTCATCTTTGGCCAAGCTTTTTGCAATATGGTTGCAGTCGGCCAACCTGCGCTGCTGCGAACGGTACTTGTGCGCACGTATAGTGACACACATGGCAAATAATGATTCTAAGATGCTTCATCTGGCTAAATAGCAAAACAAATTAAATATTATTTTACTGTTAAATCATGTCTCATAACCCGAAATTACCGTATATGCAGAAGAAAACAGCCTGTCATGGCGATTATCCTGCTGATTGGCGCCGTTGCTCTCTTGAATTTGGCGGATTAAACATGAAGTTCAAAGCTGCAAGTGTATTGTAGATTCACAATATGAAACGTAATCAGGCTGCGAATGGCACACAGGTGCCATACAAGTGAGTATTGCAGCACGTTTGCTCATAATCAGCTCAAAAGTGTCGCTTTTCCAGCTCATCTATCAGATGTGAGTGACAGTACCGCCTGCCGCGTTGCATATGCGTGAGCCGGCAGAGCGTGCCCACCTTTCTGAGGATGATTCTTTTACTCTTTTCTACTTCCCGCTTCACAAAATGTGACGTAATGGCCTCTCCTCGGTATATTCCTTCCTCCATCGTTTTTATCGAATATGCATTAAGAGTATGGGACACTCGCATGAAAAGGAACATTGTCAACTTGAAAAGTGTTTAAAGAAAATCGGTACGTTTTATTTTTTATATGCACAGCTGGCAATCATCCGCAAGCACGCTAATGGCTGAACTGGAACCCCTGGAATTGCGACGTCAGACAGAAAGACTATACAGGGTACCTATACAAAATTTATCACAACAAAATAGAAATAGAAAAGAATCATTTCATTCAACCTGTAAGTAACGAATCACACGCTCTCATCACTCGAAAAAACTACAAATACTATAACTGCCAATGATTGTATTTCACAATACATTTTTGCCACGAATGATAAGAAAATGGAACGAGCTTCCAGCCGATGTCGTGGAATGCACAACCAAAGCAGATTTATATTTGACACTCCGGGCTCATTTGAAGACTGTATAAATGTGCCAGTTTACTAATATATTTTGTCTATGTTCACTTGTACATTTATACCTGTATATCTTTTTCTGTTTACTTTTTTTCTTTTGATGGCACATAATTTAGGTATCGGTCACCTTATATATAGGGAGATGCATATATTCTTTCATTATATGTATGTATATTTAGTATTTAGAATATAATGGTTACCATGCAGTTCTCCACTGCTTTGATTATCAATATAAGTAATGATAACAGAGCGGCTGAGGAATACTTAGAGAGGAGCATACCATTATTGCTTTTGCTATAGCTTTCTTTTGCATAGTATGTACGTTTTCTTTATCTTTGTAGCCCCACTACTGCTTACAGCCTTTTTAAGCTAGAATATTTTGCAAATAAAAAGTAAAACTATCGAACAGTAGGTGGCGCAGGGTTCACAATCATCACCACTCGGATTAGCGTGGTAGTGCCTGCAGTGACCCCTGGTGGCGAGGCTAGGTGGCCAGACTCTTTCGCTAGTCTCTTTGGTGTGTGTGACAGTTGGCGTGGAAGGTTGTCTTCTGCCGGAATCCCACGAGATGCGGGGACCACGGGCCGTCTCCCGTGGTTTTCTAGTGACGAGTCGAACATCAGCAATGCCACTTTAGTGTTACCTTGTGTTTGTTATGTTCATCGAGTGTATTAAAACATTGTATAAGGTGTTTAGCCTGTTGATCAACAGTGATGTATGTGATATGGCTGAAGACATTATCCTCAATAGATGTTTTGTTTGGTTTCGTTTGACCGCATCTGCCGAGTCCGTTCGCTCTGACAGCAGGCTCCCATTCCAAGACCCCCACAGTGTGTTCCTTGTATACACAGCTCTTCTGGTAAATTTTCGTGTCAGAGTTCTTGGAAACCATTGAGGTTTCTGAGCAGTCCCCTGATAGTCAAATGTAAAATTTCTGTCTCGGTTATGTGTGAAGTAGTGGTGTGCGTGCAAACGAAAGGTATTCGCTTAAGTTACAGAGCCCTTTCCAGGCCCTTCAACGTAGATCTCATCGTTCTTGTAGAGGTCAAGGGATGTTCACTGCTGCATAGGCATGTGATGCGCCGTTACGATAGGAGCAGTGTCCACTGCATCCGGCGAGGCAGTGGACAAGCATTCGTACGAGCCAGAAGTCTCGCATGACAACCTCACCCCAAAAAATGAGATTTTTGTGTTTGGATCCAGGCAGCGCCAGCTGAGGCCGAAGAGTGTGAGGCAGCCTTGGCTGGTGCTTTTGCAACTGGTACAGTCGAATCTCATTAATTCAAACATGCTTAATTCCAATTTCCGGTTAATTAGAACTGACACTGTGGTCCCGTCAAAGCTATGTGTATTCTAATGGGCGAAAACGCCTTGTAATTCGAACGCGCAAGCACTTGTGGCGGTTAAATCAAACACACCACGCTCCGAAAATGCTCTCAGCACAACGCTCGATCCCACGGCGACACCTCCGACACCTCAACGCTGCGCACGAAGAAGGAAAGAAAAGAAAAGGCTGTGGTGAAATGTTTGCTCTCTCTGATGCGCCCGTGCTACACTTCTTCCTTTCCCATCCCTGCCCCTTCTCCATTTAACGATGCGCGCGAAGAAACAGAGCAAAAAGAAAAGCTGTGGCAGAGCGTTGGCTCTCTTTCAAATGCTAATCTGCGAATGTGCCAGTGCAACACACGTAGAGACCATTCTCCTTTCAATGAAGCCCGGAGAAAAGAGAGAAAAAAAAAAGCTGCCGTGGGGTCTTGGTTCTTCTCTCCGCATAAAGACGCTCCTCCTTTCTCGTCACCTTCTGGCTATTCTGCGGCTGTGGCACAGAGGGCCAGTTTTTTTTTTTTTTCTCTCCTCATTGATTTCACCCCCCCTCCCCCCCCTTTCCTTTCAGCCTACTTTCTTTTCTGCACTCTGTCCTCTTCATTCCCCGTTCCCCCGTGAGTGTAACGGTAGAGGTGTCCTCACATGAGAGACAGTTATCGTGCAATCCACACGCCATTTCCTTATCTTTCCGCCTTTTTTTTTTTCCCCAAGAAATCACCCTTCCCTCTTCCCCCGGCTCAGAGGGTAGCAGCGAAGACGCAGTCATTGTCGCCGTCTTTAGAGAGTGTCGGTGCTGGACATGGCCGCGCACAACTTTTCTTGCCAGGAGAATGCTAAAGCCGAAGTATAAACGCTTTGCAAACTACGTGCGAAATTGATTGACTCCCTGCAAGGCAAACGTGTGCTGACACGCCTCCTCGATTACTTCAATTAATGACTGAGTATCCTGTGATTTATGAATAAATGTAAGTCTTCTAAAGTCTTCTAAAACTTCCCCTGGTGTGTTAGCTCAATGCACATGAGCCACTGGAAGGTGAGCCCTCCATTCATTTAGCTTTCATTATTACAAATTTCTGTTCATTCGAACGAATTTTCGGGCCCCTTCGAGTTCGAATTATCGAGATTCGACTGTATTAGTGCCAGCGACACTAAGGTAGCGAGACTTTCTCGCTGGGTGGATGGAGCAGACCTAAATGCTTCCACCGCAGGGGCAGGAGCCACAGCCAACAGCTTGCTTCGCGAGGGCTGGGCTCGTGGTGAGGACCAGTGCGGCGCTGCTCCCCGGTGCAACACATCAGCATAGAATGTGCCGTGAAACGGTGAACGCAGTGTTCGTACCTCCTTGAGTAAAATATTTTTTTATCTTAGTGTAATTAAATCTTTTTCCTTTTTCTATGTATAACAGGCTCTCAAGTATGATGCGTGCTCACCATCACAGTTTGAACAGTGGAGCAGACTGACATGTATCAGAGCAGTGTTTGTGATTCCCGGATTTGGCACAGGTCAGTCAGCCTCTACAACTCTGTGAATCATGACCAAGATGTAGGCACTTGAAACACCTGCATGGATTTGGGATGTAGGGTGTGATGCTTCTTTTTGTGTAACCAGTTTAGAGGGACAGAGGCAAGACTGTCAAGTAAAAGTTACGATAAGATATTTCTTCGAAATTTTTCAAGTTATCACGCCACATTCTGATCTTTCCTTCCTGTAAGAAGCTCTTCTTCACTCAAGTTTAGAAGACCGTCATCAGTGATCACTCCTTGGATGGTGTTCATTGACCAATCACTGTGATTGGAACAGTGCGGAACGGCATGAGCTTCTCGTACTGTGCAATATCTCGTACTTCATGCAGCGTGTAGTCACTGATTATTTTAGTGGCCTTGTAAACCAGCCCTATTGTGTCAGCAAGACACTTCGCAACAACAAATGGAGAAAAGGTTCTGACGATCTTCTGAGTCTCTGTGCAGTCGATCACATGAAAATGAGAGAAACTTTTTTTTGGCTTAGCGATAAAACTGTGTTTTTGCGCGAGCGCATTCAGGAAGTTTGGGAATGACATTGAAGGCCATAAATCTATGACTATTTACGGTGGTCATGCCAGCTGCCTACCACCTAGCCCAACATGCAGACGCTGCGACATCTTATGAGAGCACAGATGCCAATTGCACATGGTCACTATAACTTAATATAAAATGCCCAAGGAAGACCATATACACAAGGTTGACCCTCGCCGCACAGAAACAGAAGTAAACAGAAGAGAGTAGTAAACAAGTAGACGAGAAAGATATAGAGTGAAAGTGAAAGACAAAGTTGCATAGAGATAAGGATAGGAAAGGCTACAGCCTACAGCCAATTTCCCTAGGGTGAGTCAGCCAAGGGTGCTGCTTGCATGAATGGCAAATTTAAAATTATTCGAAATGAAGGAATAGACATATTAAACTGCATGCAATCCCCTGTGAAAGTGGTTTCGCTGCAGTAAGGCAGTGCTACACTGCAAAATACACCTATCCAAGGCCAATCTGCACTGTCGTGGCACCTCATTTCAAGGCTAAATGAACAAAACAACTTTATATAAATTCATCATTTCTTAAAGTGTGAATGCGTTATACTGGCTTAGATGCTCCAAATACAGTAAATTTTAAAATATAACTTGCTTTACAGGCTATCATTTGCATTGTACCGAAAGTCAAGTCCAGCTACTATTCAAAGTTGCTTCCACTTCCCTTTGAACCAGAAAGAATGCCTTGTTTCAATCAAAAAAAAATATTGTGCAGGACAAATATGATCATTTTTATTTGTGACACCGACATGATACATACTAGTCAAATTCAACACAAAATTATTTGACCAAATGACTTTTTCACATCTTAAAATTTACAATTTGCACCTGCCTACAAATTACTGACTAGGCCCAATTTAATGGGAAGATGCTTTGCCTACAAACAACTGTGACTAAGTAAGAAAACTCAGTACTGTTCACAAAACAGCCCACCTGGGAATGCAGACATTTCAGCAGGGCCTGAAGCACTACTCTGCTGTTGAGATTTATGTCCAAGGCCAGCAGGCAAGCAGCCAGCGATTGCAAAGCGCAGTAGCCATCGCTGGGTGGCGCCACCCTCCCAAGGAGCTGCTCAAATACCTGCAGCTGCCACCGCACACCCACAACGCAAAGCTGCAACAGAGGACATTGTGGTGGTCCACATTGTGGTGGTCCATCTCACTCAAACGTAAACTTCTCAGTGTGAAAAGGAAAGCACCCCACGCAGGAAAAAGGGTCAAACCGGTGGAATAAATTCAGAGAGATAACAGGCTACATACAAAGGTAGGCTAGCTAGGCATACCACCCAAGAGCCCAGCCATGAACTATTAGTGCACCCATTATGGAGTAAAGGACACAAACCGCAGGAGTGCCAGTTTCAACCAGCACTTTGCTTGAATTGCAAACAAGAAGAAGCAGCATTGTTTTCATTTATATACAAAAATAACAAACACTTGTCAGACCTGTAGCCAAAGAATAGTCGTAGGTCCGATTTAATACTATTTAATACTAGTGTGAAACTTGTTACAGTGATCAATGAATGCGTTTAGTGCACTCATCCCATGTTCCCATATAATAAATATGTAGTCTATGTAGCAGAGATAAGCAGAAGGCTTTACCTGGAGGTGATCTTAACAGTTCCGATTCTTAGTGTCCCATAAAATGTTGGTGCAAAAAGGGTTCCCATACTAGTGCCATAAATTTGTAGACAATAGAACGAATCAAATTCAAAATAATTAAGTGTAAGGGCTAATTATTGTAACGAGACAAACTTCAGCATTATGTGTCTGCTTGCCTTCTATGGGTGACTGACACTGCTTCAATGCCTTCGGTTATAGATATATTCGTATACAAAGAGCATACATCTAATGTTACCAAAATGGCCAGATGCAAAAGTTTTTGTGTTTCATTATGTTACCTATTATTCGGAGGAAATGAGGCATATCCTCAGCAAAGGATGGTAGGGTCGATGGCATGTTAGATAGATGAAGATGATCATATCTGAGGTTTGACGTCCCAAAACCACCACATGATTATGAGAGACGCCGTAGTGGAGGGCTCCGGAAATTTCAACCACCTAAGGTTCTTTACCGTGCAGCCAAATCTGAGTACAGGAGCCCACAGCATATCCGCCTCCATCAAAAATGCAGCCGCCGCAGATGGGATTCGATCCCACGACCTGCGGGTCAGTAGCCGAGTACCTTTGCCACTAGACCGCCGTGGCAGGGTATGTTAGATAGATGACGATTTAAAAACTTTGATAGCGATTCTGGTGGTGTATTGTTGCTGGACACTATAGTCTGCCTGTAATTTCTGCATTAAGTAGTTCGTTTATAGAAACCTTATGAATCTTTGGAAGGAGGCAAAAACTACTTGCTTGCTTGTTTTTGGGCATGAGAAACCAGTGCTCGGAGGATATGATCAATTCCCTGGCTAGAAAATCTGTTATGATGTGCGCTATTGCTACATTCTTGAGTCGGGTCCAATGCTAATCAATAGTTGGTGTTGTTGCTGAGTTGTCTAATAGCTTTGTTTTTATATTTTGCTACAGGACAGATTACTCAACTACCACCGTTGTCCACAGGTTTTTATGACAATGTGCTTTCTGGTTGAAAATTATTTAAATACATCATGTTCTGCATAAGTTAAGTTCTTTGGCTTTCGACTCTGTTTATTTGTACTCAGGATTCGTCTTGAAACTATATTTATGTATTGATGTACTTCTAGGCTTTGTTCTGTATCTGGCGTCCAGGTGCTCGGCGGTCACAAGGAGTCATGGCTAAAGTCTTCTATGCCTGCTTTATCAAAAAAGAACTCCGTTATGCGCAAACATTTTGAAAAATCAGTTTTGACACCAATAAAAAGGGAAAAATCGGCAGATCCCATGTATCGGAGAATTAACATTATGCGAAGCATGCGAAGGGAAGGTGACCATGTTGCAATTTTTTTACTGAGCGACACGCCATGAAATAACGCTAAGTATATGTACGAATGTTGCACACACAGACAAATGTTGAAGAGTCAGGTGTTTATATAACCAGATGTTTGCACTTGCACAACGATGCCACCTGGAATATGTGTATTAGCAACACCAGAAGCTGAAATGAAACGCCATGCTCGCGAGGATGCTGGCCCTGGACACTGCTATATCAATCAACTTCAGCGCATGACAACTAACCACAATTGACTTTAACCCGATGTGACAGCTGCATCAAAGTAGTACATATGTAATGTTTATAAAAATTGGGCAGGCAGCACTGCAATCACTATTGACGTTTCACAAAGATGACCGTCTATTTGAGAAAGAGTTTTGAGACCTGGTGTAGCTCTGTGGTACAATGCTTCATTGCCACGCAGAATGCTTGGGTTCAATTCCGGCTTGGACACTAACAATTATTCTTGTCAATCGTTGGGTCGACGCTACTGATGTCGAGCATTTCTTAACGCTCGCACATTAAAATTTCCCATGTGCGTTCCCGTCGTTCCTGGGTGTCAATCACCTGCAGTTGACTAAGTGTCCATCAGCTGTGGCACATACCTGCACACTAGTGGCACATACCGGGCCGTGGGTATGTGCCACTGTCTAAAGAGAAGTGTCTGACGACATATTTAACAGGATTGTCACATTATTCATGTCTTGACCAGCGCGTCATATTCGTCGAACAATCTTACCCTACCATGCTAATTTTGGTTCACGCCAAGTTAAGGGGGTGATCACGAGAGCACCCAAGCGTAAGCGACTAGATAGATAGATACGCTCAATGTTGCCGAAGTTCACTCAGAAATGCTTCGCACTAAAAAAAAAGCTAAAAGGCATGCAGTCAAGCATGGGAATGTCTACGTTTGCACGCTTTTTTCTCTAGAGGGGCCCTTTTGCAGTCAATGGCTTCGAGACTCTCGTCTGTATATTGTTACGAGAAGCAAAGACTCGGAAGGGTAGACACAGATACATCTGTACAGCTGATCAGGTGAGCAGCACCAGCGATCTAGATTAGCTCGCACCAGTTTATCTTCTTTGTCCTCTTTATTTCGATGTCTCTGGTACGTAGCATGACCCCTTGAGGGCAAACGCACCTTCCCAGAGCTTTAAAGGTCGTCATCAGATGCACTCTCATTGGGGTTGAGCCAGGATCCGTGAACATCACTGTACTGTACGAGATGATGATGGGCAGATGGGGATGATCTCATAGGTGACAGGGTCTGATACGTGGAGTGCGCAGTTGGAGTGCGTGCCTTTGAAAAGTGTGCGTCACAAAGAGCAAGACCTGATGGAGAGCACACAAGCTTCTGCTCTAACGAGAACAACGATGTCAAAGTAGCGTCGAACACGAGAACGCATGGCCCCTAAACTTCAGCATCGCCGATTAAATTGAAACAAGTGGGCCGGACTTCGAGAGAGATCCTGAGACAGAAAAGAGCAAGGGAGTTGAAGAGAACATGGCGAGCGAATGGTTGTCACCAAACTGGGCGCTGAAGATGGGCCATCGGGTGTCGGACCTGAGCCTCGAAGACTTCAACTAGCCAGGGCCTCTTGCCGCCGTGTCCCCGCTTGAAAGAACCGTGGCCATCCAGTCCTGAACTCCAGCACAGGGCCTGTGGACTTCGGTGCCGACAAACGAGCAACAGCCAACATGCTACGGGCCCGAGCTGTGCTCCCAGCTGCCTGGCCAGGTTGACCCTGGTTTCTCGACGTGTCACCAGCACCCAGCTTTCTCTCATCACCAGTCAACTCATGTCCTAAACCGGAACTACCGCATTCCGATTAGCACATCGGCACCGAACCTCAACGAGTTGGTGACACTGCCCTGATATCTGACCCTACTCTACCACTCACTCCCATTCGAACTTTAGATTTAGTTGAAGGCTACGAACTCTTGTTCATTAATATAAAGTGTCTTAATATGTCCAATGATCTTTTTATTAGGTGTTTGATTGCGTGGGGATTTTCATCTCTTTACATTTTAATTAAACATTTTTTGTGGGTTTCGCAGTGATGTCACCGAGGTCTTCGAATTTGGAGCAATTTTCGGAGAAGGAAAATTTTTATTTTAGAGCACTTTGGAGCAGCAAAACTTTCCATTTGGAGCAGCAAAAATTTCCATTTTAAAGCAATCTGGAGTAGCTAAATTAAAATCCTGGAGGAAAAGCGAATTTCATTAACATTCAAGGACATGAAAAATTATTCTGAGGCTCTTGTGAAAACCCAAGAAATATTTAGATTTCTTATCGAATTTCATTGAGCCAATTATCTTAGGAACACTCCCTATTTCAGTTGATGATGCAAGAATAATGGTGCCATGCTGTTGAGCATTCTGGAAAAACTTACTTGTTCAGTGATTATTTTCGTAGTAAATAAACAGAATACTGGTTGAATAAAATATTACTTCATAAAATAACATTCTGAATGCACCAATGTGGTTATTAGCAGATATGGTAGACAAACACTGTGATGTACAATGCTAGAGACTCCCACAGTCCCAAGTGCACTTCCCTAAGATGACTTCAAGAATAAAAAGGGTTCTTTTTCTTCACGACTGATTAAACTTCTTGGCATAATATGACGTCTTCCAGCTAGTCTCAGAAAGCCAACCACCTTCGGCACTCATCTCTGTGCTGAAACTACACACTTTGACTTCATTTTCCTTTCGCAGCAATAGTTTATGTTGCTAAGGCATTTTGTATATACTACGAACATCCCCTACCATGTCCTCTAGAAAGCCGTGCATTAAAAAAAAAAACCTCACAGGGTACCTTATGCTTATGCCTAAGACAACTCAAAGGCAAAATTCATTTTGTTTTTAATAGAATAGCAATTATATGAACATTCTTGACTGGTTTTTGCCGTTCCCAGGGTTGTCGCCAGAAATTTAAAAACGCCAGGCCTGTGCAGAAGATGCAGCACAGTCACAGTGAAAGCTAGAAGAGCGGCCTTTCAGAGTCCTTTGAAACACTTATTGGGTAACTACTACAAGCACACTTGCTTGATACCCACTATAGCATTATTATTAAAATTCTTAGGGCAGTAGGCCGGCACTCTCTATGCTCTTTTTCGTCATTCTTCTGAGAGGCGTGGTATCCGCTAAACATTTGCAAGGAACTTTGTGTCAATTGTTCGTGCAGTGGCTGACAACAATGAGGAAGTATGACTGAAGTGGGCATGCACCACAGTCAATAGGTGAACAAGAACAAGCTTTTGTAATGAGTTTGAGCATTGGACGACCTACTCACTACGCTATTCGCATTGTGCGACGACTGGTTCTTTTTTTGCTGTTTTAAAACGCTTCATAAGCCCTATTAACGCGATTGCTTTCCCCACATCAAGCCTGCCTAAGGCAAGTTTTCCTGGACTAAGACAAGTCCCAAGCCCCCGCGTGGCTCAGTGGTAAAATACTGGGCAGGCACCCAGCAGACCCGGGTTCTAGCCCTGCTGTGTCGCTAGTGCTACGTTTTTTTTTTTTTTTCTAATTTCGAGCGATGTGGTTATAGACACAAATGACGCACAAAAACAACATGCACAGGACGAGAGCGAACTAACAATGTTTACCGCTCGACACTTAACGCGCTGTTTAAACAAAACAACGCACGAGATGTAGCACAAATACAGATGAGTGCAAACTAACAATTGTCCCAGTTATACTACACTTTTTCGCAAACCAGCCAGTGAAGTGACCTTTGTGTTCGACCCAGCAACTAACGAACTAACACGATCGTTCCGGCAAAAGCCAAAGGCACGCGATTTTCCCCACCGAATAATAAGCGAAGGACACAAGCATCTACTCCAACCCCCCATTCGCGGGGCTAAGTATGCGAGGAAGATAAGTACATGTCGGCGCATTGTGACGAGCTGGACGCCGAGAATGGGTTTCTTGAGTTTTCATATATATATAGACATGTACACACAAACGGTGAAAGACAGTGGCGGCAGCGACAGCAAAAAAATCAGCCGAGACTGTCCATATTATTGCTATCGCAATAAAAGAGCCAACCTACCTCCTTTGCACGGAGTGCAAACGCGATAGCATCAACCTGTGTGCCAGGCCTGCCATCGATTGTTACTAAAGCAGAGAGAAACGCACCACCCATCTTCAAAAAGCAGAAAAAAACTAGGAACGCACGATGGTGGTGGGGGGGGCATGGTTATGAACTTTGGGTGTTATCACTGGCACTCGCGCTGATTCGGCAGGCATTAAAGACCGCTGTTATACCCTTCTAACTTGTACTCTCAATGCAAACAGAAGGTTGGTATCACATTCATTGCTAAGAGCCTAAGAGGAAATAACAAATAGTATCTTTTGGACACTATGTCGCATAACTCAGATGAACACTGGTTAAAGAGACAATGATCACTCCAATTGCTGAATGTCAGTTATATAAACGCGAAGCATATGTATAGTAGCACAGAAAGTTTATGACCATGTTCATTAGGCTTCGAAATAGCGTGCTCGCGAATGCCCCCTTCAAGTGACGCAGCTTACGCCCCTTCTCCATCCCACCCCAAAAAGAGAAAAAAAAAACGAAGCAATGATTGCGATGACGTGATATTTAATTTTTTTTAACCATCAGCTATTAACCTTTGAAAGCGAGAGGTGGACGTGTAACAAGGCGTAGCTGCTTCACCGTGGGCCTTCCTACCTCAGAGCCGCCAGCGATATTGAAAGCTGCGTGTATTAAAACTGAATTACTGCTGCTCTGACCAGGGAGCATGCTTTTAATAATGAGATGACATTAAAAAGAAAGCATGTGAGAATTTTCAATTCGAACCCTAGCAAGCTCGAGTTCGAAAGGGTCTTTTAGGGGCTTTTACCGCCACAGCGACTGAAAACACGGATGTGCTGATGGAAGGAATCACCAAACAGCTCTTCTGTATGATGATCCATGGATGAAGTATATTAGAGAAAAAGCGTCAACCCATTCTCACCATTTATGTGTTTACTCCAGACGCGAAGCATGAAAAATGATATGGCAATGTCTAGACATAGATGTGACAGATATTCTGGCGGCACGCGTGCAGTTATTAGTGAAAATTGCTCTACTACATGCCACGCAACTCTCCAAAGGAACTATCAGCAACGTTCCTGAAACGGACGACATTCGCCGAAGAATCACCGCCACAGTTTCACGCTACCGATTGGATTAGGCGTCACAAGGCCCTGCGGAGAGCTTGTTTCGCCGTTAAGCGGACTTGCACAACAAAGTTGCGTCGGCACCAAACATTGCATCGTGGATTTTAGAACGGACGCGTGACTGCTGTTTATTCAGTGTAATAAAATAGGTACGTGATTGTGACATTGGTAGCCCCGAGAACAAGATGCACGTGTATTCACGTGCCGAAAGACGCTACCAAATTCGACTTTGGCGCAGTTTGGTGCAATTTTCCTTGATATTATCAGGATAGCACAGTAAATCTGATTTCGCGCACTTTAGCGCAGTTGGCACAAGAGTGGGATCACTGGGTGAAGTTATAGCAAAGGGTGCGAATGAGAACAGGATGAGGTGAATAGAAGGAAGGATGAGGATAAAGCATTTCGTACAATAGAAAAAAGTGGGAAAAAGAAGTGAGGGCAAGTGATGAAAAGGTGAGGGAAACGAGAAGGAGCAGGTCACCAATTGTGCTGTTTTGCAGTTTTTGCACCATTATTCATTTTTTATTAGGTACCAGCTTCGCCAAGAGGCATTACAGCAGGGAAGGTACTATCAGCGTCAAATGAAACCTGAACAGCAGCAAGCCTTTGCGACAGTCTAGTGCATGCCGTCCAATCATCATGATTGACAGGCGCGCGCATCCTGTTCGGCAGCTTTCCGCATATATGCGTGCCTGTTCGTGGTGATAAGTAGACGGCGTGCACTATAGCATCGCGAAGTCTTGCCGCTGTTTGGGTTTCATTTGAGGCTGATAGTACATAACATATAAGTAAGCACATTATGATGATAACACATTCATAAAGCATAGAAAAAAAATATCATTTGAACAAATACAGACAGTTTCAGATGGCAGGGTGTTCCAGTCCCATATGGTACAAACCAAGAAAGAGTAGCGAAAAGAGTAACCTATAAAAAGCATCTCAAGTTATGCTCCAATTTTTCATTTAACATTGTATTTAAACACCAGTATTTTGACATGTATTGAGTAGCAAGCACATGACCTACATTTAGCAAACGTTTGGTCTTGAAAGATGGCTTGCCTTGAAACTAGCATGGGAAAATTAGTGCGAACATCCTCAACCACGTGGCCACTCATATTTAAGACATTACTCACGGGCATCCAGGGAAGTAGAGCACCAAGATAACGGGGCCAGTGTTGAGCCAGCGCTAGCCACAGCCACAACCGAAGTGGTTGGTGTTCAGTCGGTTGAATGGGTCCAACCAAGCAGTGGAGCAGCAGTGGACGCAACATCTCCAGCAGGGCCTCCTCTTGACTGCAGTTGCACAATGAAAAAAAGACCACTGACTGTGCTGTCGCTCGACAGATCCTTACTTATACCCTATGCTGCACTCGTCAAGCGCTTCCTGGACAGTCTGCTGAACAGCATCCCAACAGTCTGGCCGCTCCCGAAGCACTAACACCAGCGGGTGGCTCCTGCACAAAAGACAGCAGCTCTTGCTAACAGACATAATGATTGTTGCCTACAGTGAATTTCTGTGACAAAATGGCCAATGTGAGGAAGGGTTAGAGTAATCACGGCAACTGAAATATTTTTGCCGAGGCTAATGAAGACATTTACAACTGGAATAACAATGCCTTTAACCTACAAAAAATGATGGTGAAGCTGGAAAGTTGGAGCGCTGAATGGGAACAAAGAACTGCCATGACTACACACACGACACACCATTCTCGATTCACTTATGCTTAAACACACTACGCAGTCCTCCACTGCCCTACACAAGATTTGTAAAGCTTTGCCCTGTGACAGCTGAAGGCTGTCGACGAGACGATGAGCCGCTGTGTCGCATATTACGCCAACAGCAGAGTCAAGTCAGGCATGGCTAGACTGGAGTGGGTGGCAGAGTAGATATGGAACGAACACGTCTTTACAGTCAATAGTATGCCTGGTTTTAAAATGGCCCCAGGTGTTTAAGTGCAATGAGACAGCACTAGCAACTGGAGCAACCAGTGGTAGGAAGAGAGTCCAATGCAATCAGCAGGCAGCATTGAGCATCGAGATGAGGGGCACGACTCTCGATGCATCCACATTGTAGACTAACCATTTCAGCTTGAACTGATTAGCTGGGGCTCACCGAGCAGTACACGCTGTTACCGCTCCTTTTTCCGCAACATCGTTTAACATCACAAAGTTTTCACAACTATTGACTCAAACCAAAGAGACAAAATGCATTTCTCCCCAACGAATGCCGATCAAAAAATTTTGAACGTACATAATGGAAGCCACACATGAACTCTAATCACATAAAACTCTTATCATGAACTCCAACCTCTTGTATTAGGTTTAAAGTGAAACTAATGTCCTGAGTGCGTTAGTTTGACATACTCTGTTAGTTGAGGCACACTCGGTGCATTAGTGTCAATTTCTTCAGCTTTGCGGTCTTGAAATTCGACGATAAATGCACACGTAATATTTTCATTTTTTTTAAAGCTAGGCTTGCCATAATTTGGGACATAAATCAACTTCAACATATAAACCACTCTAAAATTGATAATAAAAAAGTTAATTCATTTCTTACTATTTAATTATTTCTAAGCGATCAAATCAGTGGCAAAACCTTTCAGCCTCAGCCTAGAAATTGGCTCTGAAGACAACAAGTGCCTACCTATTATAGTTTTTTCAAGGAAAAATCTGCATTGCTTGAAAAAAGAAAACACCCTGTATACGTGCATGCGTATGTGTGCTAGAAAAAGAACGTGAATTCCAACTCGTGACTATGTCAGCAATAGACTAAAAGAGCCTAGCTGAAGGCTTTGAATAACTATCCTCCTAGGGTGTTTACTCTGACATTTATATTTATTTATTTTATTTATACAATACTGCAGACCAATTTAATGGTCCAAGCAGGACGGGCAAAAAAAAAGAATGTTCACGCACACACAATGCAATGCAATGTAACAAAAATAATGAAGCAACAAAACGCAGAATTCACTTGGAACTACAAAATAAACAAGCCACGGTGAAACCGACTTTTCGCACAAACATAGCAGGGTTTCAATCCAAATAAAACTAGAAAATCACGCACAACTTAAAGAAACATTGCTAAAAACCCGAACATCAGTAATTAAAAGTTTCTAAAATGATCGTGTAGGGCTGTCATAAAATTTCCACTAAAAATTCTTTCTGGCAATTTATTCCAGTCATCTACCGTGCGTGGAAAATATGAAAACTTAAAGGCATTTGTTCGGGCAAAGAATGGGGATAAACTGTGGCTATGTGTGTGTCGTGTTTTCCTCGTGGTGGACGGACTAATGAATGGAGTGGGTGATAATCCAGTCTTACACTTAATTAGGGATTCCATAAAAGCTAAGCGGGAAATTTGGTGTCTAATGTGTAGTGGTTGGATTTTATTGAGTGCCATGATACCTGACGGAGAATCACTTCCTTTATATTTATTATAAATAAAACGAACAGCCTTCCTCTGAACCTTCTCCAATTCGTTAATGTTTTTGTTCGTGTGCGGGTCCCAAACAACCGCTGCATACTCCAGTTTAGGCCTAATTATGGAATTATACGCTAAAAGCTTAACGTTACTAGGTGTACCTCGAAGTTTATGCCGTAAAAGACCAAGTTTTTTTTAGCGCTGAAGAAGTTACCTGCTGAACGTGGTCGTTCCAATCTAATCTGGAGTTCAATACGATACCTAGGTATTTAAACTTACTAACCTCCTCGATTAAGGCGTTTTTAATTTTGTACCGGAAAGTTATGGGGTTTCGTTTCCTGGTTATACGTAAAAGAACTGTTTTTGTAGTGCTAATTTTCATGCCCCATTTGTCGCACCAAGATGATATGTCACATAAAGCCCTATCTAGCCGATGTGTTGATCAGAAGCAGACTGCACTTCAGTATAAATCATGATATCATCCGCGAACATTCCAATATTCACAGTATCACCAACCACAGACACTAAATCATTAACATACAACAAAAAAAGCAGGGGCCCCAGCACACTTCCCTGGGGCACACCTGATGTCACTGTTAGAGAAGAGGAACAAGTACCATCGATGTCTACAAATTGCGTTCGATCTTTCAAATATGAATTAACCCAATTTACAAGTGTAGAAGGAATTCCTGCTTGTTTAAGTTTTAAAAGAAGGCTACCGTGAGGAACCCTGTCGAATGCCTTGCTTAAGTCTAAAAACAAAAGATCAATTTGCCCGGAGTGATCTAAGATTGAACTAAAACTATGAACGGCGGTGAACCAACTGCGTAACGGTAGAAAATCCCTTTCTAAAACCATGTTGGAAGGGACTCAATGTTTTATTATTTTCCAGTACATTAAGAATATGGTTAGCTACAATATGTTCTATCATCTTGCAACAACAGCACGTTAAGGAAATTGGTCGATAATTGTCAACATGGAAACGGTCTCCATTTTTAAAAACTGGAATTACCCTAGCCATAAGCCAATCATGGGGCAGCACAGACGTCCGAAAAGATTCACGAAAAATGACTGTCAAAAACCGAGCTAAAGATTCTGCATAGCGACGCAGAAAGGCCTTTGGGATTTCATCCGGGCCAGTAGTGCACTTAGGATCTAATCACAGAAGCATTTCAAAAACTCCTTCAAAAGAAACAAGCTCGATCTGTTCCGAATGAGCCTCCATATAAAATTCATCACCTTGATCGTTTGAAAACACAGAATGAAAAAAGGAATTGAAAGCATTAGCAATGGAGAGACGAGATGTTTCCATCTTGCCATCAACCAATAATTGATCGACCGATTTACGTGCACTACGGATGTGATTCCAGAACTTTCCTGGATCGTTTAAAATGAACTGAGGCAAACTTTCGCAAAAATACCGTTTCCTTGCGGATTTTACGCTGCTCGAAAGTTTGGAGACTAACCTATTTAAGACATCACAATCGGGACTGCGAGTCTTCTTGATACGTTTAATTCGCCGTTTTAGGTGAATAATATCTCGGTTAATCCATGGATTGACCCTTTTGGTTCGTTTTTTCTTATCAGGTATAAAAGACTTTAAACAAAATTTGCAATGCTCTTTAAACATTTCCCACAAATGCCGCACATCATTACCTTGAAAGCTTTCGTAAGCTATGTCAAGGTAATCCAAAACAGACTCGTCCCTCGCCCTGGAGTAGTCTTTGACATATGTATGCTTAACTCCCGCCAAACGTTTTTTAGGTTCTAAAAAGACATTGGTAACTACAACCTTGTGATCAGAAATCCCGTCACTTACATGTAATGAATAATCAGAAAAACTGCGATCTAAGAACACAAGATCGAGTACGGACCTAGCTGTACCGCAAATTCTGGTGGGCTCAAGAACAACCTGGTTTAAATTATGAGTTAGCATAATGTCGGATAGAATATCAGAGTGCTCTGCGGCTCCGACACATCCAGTAGGCCAATCAATACCTGGTAGATTGATATCGCCAACAAGCATAAGCCTGGTTTTGCGGAAACTAAACAAATGATCTTGGAGCTTTCGCAATAAGAAGAATCAGAACTGGGAGGTCTGTACAGCACACATAGGACGAAAGTGAAACTAGAAAATGTTATCTTGAGAAGCAGGCTTTCGTGGTCTTCTATTTGATTTAAAACTACAGCTTTCACATTTTTCTTTAACAGAACAGCCACACCCCCCCCCCCCCCTCGTGACCCACGGTCGCATCTGAAGACCGAAAACAATAAAGGAAAGACGCAGTCGTCAGTGATATCGCTGGTTAACCAAGTCTCAGTTATTACTGCTACGTTGGGGTTGTGCGCAAGTAATGCAATTTCCAGGGATTGGGATTTATTGACAACACTTTGGGCATTCATATTCAATACAATGAGCCTGTTGCGATAAGAATCGCTGCCGGGATCATGTCACTTCGACTGCGACTGCGCGGGGGACAAAATGAGCTTTGCGATAAGAATCGCTGCCGGGATCATGTCACTTCGACTGCGACTGCGCGGGGGACAAAATGAGCTTCACTCGTCTACCTGTTAAATCATCCCAAACATATGTTTCGTCATTAATTTTAAGTTTATCGTCATAAAGTTTTGGATACAGCCCTTCATCCTTATCCTTGCGTGCCGATTCCCAGAGAAGTTTTCGCTTGCGGAGAGTTTCTTTGGAATAATCATTCTGAATGTAAATTTTCGAGCCTTTCAGCTTCTTAACGTTACTGAAAACAGCCAGCCATCTTCTCACTGAAGTCTTGGAAGTACAAGATTACTGGTCGGGTTTTTTGCTCGCCTCTACCGCTATCATTTTCACTGTTACCGGTCTCCTTGATGCGTTTTCCCAGTCTGTGGATACGCCCAACGGATGCAACCTTCACACCAAGTCGTTTATCAAAGATGTTGCCAATAACCTTCTCCTTCAGTTCATTTTCAGATTCTGATTTAGCCTCGGGTACACCAAAAACAAGCAAATTTGACCGCCGGCTGTAATCTTCGAGATTC